GGTTTTGTAGTCCTCTATAGCTGGTGGTATTTGGCATTGCACCACTGTATAATGTATTATTGCTGATGGTGCATTGCTCTGTATAATATACAGCACAATGTACCATCAGCTATAGAGGAATACAAATCCCAGAAATACATTATAGAGCACCATGTGCGGGAAGTGCAGGCTTACCTAAGCAGTCTTCCAGCAACTTGCTTCTGAGATCGGACCTGTCTATCGGCGGCTGTCATCCCCCCACACCTGCTCCTCCTTACTACATCTCCCCGCGTCCCTGTGCCGATCGTGGATGTGGGTGGGCGGTGAGTGTGAGGCGGGGAGGAGGTGCGGCGTGAAGAGCGTGTGTGGAGCCGTGAACAGGGCTAACTGATCGGAAGCCGATTAATCGATTATTGAAAAAGTTGACAACTTTTTCAATAATCGATTATAATCGATTATGCCGATTAGTTGTTGCAGCCCTATAAACTTATTTAAATCTTGATGAGCTTTGTGTATTTCTTCCAGATCTGTGCAGTGACCCAGTGAGAAACTTTTACCTCTGTGCAGGACCTTCTTATAATAATGACCTGTCACTGCTGCTCTCTCTCCTTGTGGAGGGTGACTGATCTTGTATCTGCCCCCTCAGCTTGTAATGGGCTGGGCCTGCTGGGTCCCTTCCACAGCTCTGATCTCTGCACAGGCATTGTGTAGCACAGTAATGGTGCCATTGCTAGGTTTTAAAAGGCATGGTACTGCACACAAAGTGGATTTCCATCCTTTGTGGCTATTGAGGAATATATTTAAATGAAAATGTGTGTGTGTCTGGAGTTCAGATATAAAACAGACCAGTTCTACAAAAATCCTGATTTGCTAATCCTGTTTGTTGGGGAGGAAATCGAGTGGTCTGCACAGAGCCCTGACCTCAACCCTTTTAAACACCTTTGAGAAAATTGTAATTCCAACTGAGGCCAGGTCTTCTCACCCAACATCCAATACCTGACCTCACAACTACTCTTCTGGCTAGGCGGACACAAATTGACACAACCACACTCCAAAATCTTGTAGGAATTCTTTCCCACAAGAGTGGAGGCTGTTCTAGATGCAAACGAGGGGCTAAATCCATATTAATGGTCATGATTTAGGAATGGGATTTCGAACAAGCTAATGTAGGTGTGATAGTCATGTGCCCAAAAGCATTTGACCATGTAGTGTATACCAGGGGTAGGCATTCTTGGCACTCTAGTGGTTGAAAAACTACAATTGCCATGAGGCATTGCAAGACTAACAGCCACAAGCATGAATCCCAGAAGCAGAAGCATGATGGTATTTGTAGTTTAATCGCTACTGGAGTGCTGATATTGGCTACCCCTGTGTATATTCCCATTTTCATATATGCTACTAGCGCTGACTGAACACATTATTCATAATTTCTAATGAGAACTTTCCCCTTTTTTATTTATTTCTAGTGGCAGTTCCTACCATGTATGAGTCTACTCTCTTCCCACCTGAGCCGGCGAGCCCCGGCCCGTACTATGGCGAGTGCTCAGATGCCTACTACCAGGTGGACCGCTGGCAGAAGCTTCGCACGGCAGTTAGGAAGCTGGAGTTCTGGGAAAATTTCAGCGCTGAAGCTATAGGAAGTGGATTTTTCTCCAGAGTTTATAAAGTAAGAGGACTTACCGTAGAGTATAGGATGTAGCCAATACTTGATCTTGCTCTTTAACAGATTGCTCTTCTATGTCTATGACTTCTATGTCTTTTACAACATACTTACTGTTTATAGTTTTTCCAGTTAAAGTCATGTATGCTATTTTGTAGTTTTGAAGTTCAGGTATTTATTAACTCTCAGATTGCAGTACGTACTCCTCATGATGATTTCATTTTTCCTTTCTCTTGACCTGTACCATCTTCAGGCTTTGGGTCAGCTAAAATACTTTAAGCAGATGACTCTCGCATAAGTCCTGGTGCCTGCTAACTAGCCTTGTATGTTCTTGTGTAGTAATAAAGGGTTGATATTTTAATTCGGCAAAAGTTGTGAGTGGGGTGCCCCAGGATTCGGTCCTGGGACTGATCTTTGTTCATAGACACCCAGATTGGAATAAATTGTTCAATCTCTGTGTTTGCAGATGATACTAAACTGTGTAGGGAAGTTAATTCTCAACAAGACATAAATTCACTTCAACAAGACATAGATAAAACTGAGGCCTGGGCTGCAAGATGGCACATGCGATTTTAATAGGGCTGTGGAAATTAAAGATTCATTTCTCGATTAATCGTTAAACTTTTTGATCGATTAAAATTATTTTGATCGCTAATGAAAACACTCACCTCTCCGCCGGCTTCAGGGAGTCCTGTCGGCGATCCAGTGATGTCACGGACTTTGACGTAACGTGCTGGATCAGTGTGATCCTAGTTCATTTTATTACTTCATTGCTGTGCTGTATGTGTGTAGGCCAATGTAGTTGGATCTGTATGTGCGTTATAATCAAAATCGATTTTAAATTTTTTTTCGATTAATCGAACACGAAAATTTTAATCATTACCAGCCCTAGATTTTAATATTGAAAAATGCAAGGTTATGTACATGGAAGCAAAGAACATGCATGCAAACTACTACTTGGGGGGTGCTCCACTGGGGAAGTCGGACATTGGGGTCCTCATAGATCACAGATTCAGTAATAGCATGCAATACCAAGCAGCGGCCAGAAAAGCAAACAAGATACTATCCTGCATTGAAAGAGGGATTTTAGCAAGGGATGAAAACGTAATATTACCACTTTATAAATCACTGGTTCGGCCTTACCTTGAATATGTGGTTCAGTTGTGATCACCAACTCTAAGGAAATACGTCCTCGACCTTGAGAGAGTTCAGAGAAGGGCTACAAAATTAATAAAGGGGATGGGACACCTGAGTTATGAAGTTCACCTCCAGAAATTAAACTTAAACTCTGCTGCCTACAGCTGACTTGTGGCTATATTCTCTTAATTACTGCTCTCAGCCTTGGGAAAGTAACATACCTGGGGCTAAGGGACAGCTTTGTAATGATAAAAGGTGCAATGCCATGCCATGCCATGCAGTAGAAAACCGGCACAGATGACAAATTCATTATAAAATTGAATGCCCAGTTCATAAATTCCCTTATCTGCTTCTCAGAAATAGCCATGTGCCAGAATTTAAAGACACCTCTCACCATTTTGTAAAAGCTGGCTATCTATAAATCAATAAAAACCGTATTTATCTTAATGGTAAATAAAATCTTTGTTTAAAGCTGAACGCCAAGAAATATCTTTTTTTTTTTTTCAAGCCTACATTGGTCCAGTTTGGCTCAATGTAAGTATCTATATCTGATATCTGGAAGGATGCCGGGGATCCTGAAGATCACTGTAGTAGTGTGCACTACATATAGTAATACCCATGATCATCAGGGTGAGGCCTTCCCCTCTGTACACTGAACACAGAGAGTCAGCCATTCAGAGACTTACTTCAGTTGTTGTTGTTATACATGATTTATAAAGATGATAGTTCAGTGGTTAGGTTGAGGCGGGATAGGCTTCCCTGAAGAGATAAGTCTTTAGGGAGGGATAAAGGAGTTCTCTGACTGGACAAGGTGGAGATCATAATGTTATCCACCCTTCCTCTCTACCTTCTCCAATCATAGAAACCTCACTGAAAAAGATACAAGGCGTTCTCTGAATGGCATGGTGCTGAGTGAGCGATTTTACCTGTGCTGTATATAGTGCAGACTACTGCAGGGATTTTGAGCATCCCCGGTGCCCCTCTGGATACCGGATATGGATACTTATATTGAGCCAAGCTAGACCAATGTAAGATTGCAAAAAAAATTATCACTCCTGGAGTTCAGCTTTAAAGGAGAACTATGGGGTCAGTGTTTTTCCCCATAGTTCTCCTTAGGGTAACGGGAGGACACAAACTAGCGTCCTCCCATTACCCTAAGCTCAGTATACCGCGAGCTACAGCTCGCGGTATACTGAGACGCCGCACCTGGAGCGGATCCCGACTTAGATGACGGGATCCGCCCAGCTGCGTGAGTGACAGCTGGCTCTGCCTATCTAGAGGCAGAGCCAGCTGTACCCGCCCCCTCCCCCGTCCGTTCCGCCAGTCAGCGCTGGCAGATGAGCGGGGAGAGGGGAATCCAGCCCCTCCCCATGTCACGGCAGAGAGCCGTGACAGGATCGAGAGGGGAGGGAACCTGGTATGTTTTCCCTCACCTCCCGATCTACTGAGACAATGACAGTCTCATTGTCACAGGTCGGCTTAGAACTATGAGGTGAGTGGAAATCACTCATGTCATAGTTCTCCTTTAAAGAAAAAACCAACCAGTCTGCTAGGTGTAAAGTTGAGTTCCAGACAGATAAAAAGCCCACAGTTTATTCCATTTCTGTATTTGTTGGGAATTCCTTCATATGCTTTTGCATAGAACCAGCATGCATCTGAATCTGTCATGCACCTTTTTATAGAAGCTTGAAGTGATGAGGGAGGCAGGTCCTAAGACCCCTGAATGGAGGAACAGGTGTATCAGGACTCTGGGAGGCACAAGTGCCAGAAGGCTTCACTGCTGGTCTCGGTGACGATCTTCTGGACGAACGTAACGCAGGAGATGCACACCAGAGGGAGGGGGGCAGGAAGAGCTCTAATCAGGTGTTAACCAGGTCATAAACGTGCAGCCCACGAGGTACCAAATCAGCAGGCAGGATCATAGTCGAAAACGGGCTGAGGTCAGGAACGTGCAGAGCAGAAGCGGAGTCTAGGAATAGGATGGATCGCGGTATACAAGAAGCTGACTATCACTCAGCACTAAGCCTAAATAGCCCGCCTGGCGGCAGGATTCAAAGCGCGTGCAGACGCACGCATCTACGCAAAGGCGCACAGCCAGGCCTCATTCTGTGGACCACACCGGACTCATGTGCAGATGCTCGCACAGCGATCCTGGTATAGGCTTCTTGACACCATCTTAAAATTAGCATCTTGTAATGCACAGCAGACCTAGAGAGGGAGGAGCAAGAAGCCAATCAGGGCACTAGTGCTATAACTATAACACAGTGAGTATTCTGACTCCGATCGTTGTGATAGCGAAATATATCCCTTGCTGAGACCTCCATGCCTGGCCTGCATAAGCAGACATACTCACTGCGGACAATCCTCGTCAGATAGCTGAACTCGTCAATACCGATTCATTCAAAAGAGGTGTTTATTCTTTAACATCAGGGGTTACAGCAGATAACAGGAACAGCAGATGAATGGTGATAGTATTGTGCGGTCAGAAAATGATGCCTTTCCTCCGTACTGTGCAGATTACCTGTGTGTCCTTGTTACATGTGGCTTTCAACTGTGGCCATGACACAGGAAGTACTGCACACAGGAAGAAGGAAGGGGCGTACACTAGGGGAAAATACGTCGTCACATGAGGATAATTACAGAAAACATGTTTGTTACAACAAAAGGCCACTAGATGGCAGCATAGGATAACACATGAATTTAGCTATGAGAAAATAGTTAGGCAAATCACACTATATAAATTCTAACCTATATAACAATGCTAATATTAACTGAGGCTATGCATCTCATATTCTATGCCCCTATTGGGGCGGCACAGTGAGCATGCCGACAGGAGGGCAGATCAGAGATAATGTTTAGTGACCCTCTCATTGTCCAATTACAGGCTGGGGGTGGGTCCTGGACCAGTCTGTATTCTTTAACAGCAGTGTAGACTACAGGGAAGTCACTGCTTGGGGTGGGTGTGTGGGTATGGTCAGTGACCTGATCAACGCGTTTAGTTTTCTGTAACTTCAGATTTGCGGTCACTGCACTGGCTAAAATACAAAACATCATTGCATTACTTTTGAAGAATGATGGGTGTGTTTTTTTAGCCTGGAGTTACACAATAATGATAATAAGCAATTCCATTCAAGATCACTGGAACCTTCCACATCTATTGCTATTTAATAATAATTATGCCAAGAAAAACAAAGGAACGCCCAAAGTGAAAATTACAAGACGGCTTTTGGAGAAATTTCCATTTCCAGCGCGCTAATCTGTTTACGGTAAAATGTCACCAGGTCTTTCATAGAAGACTAAAGCGGCTCAAGGACAGCGCCGTTAATGAGGAAAGACTGTCTGAACCCGCTCTCCAGGAGATTGGCTTTTCCTGTGTCCTTCCAGCCTCTTTTCCTGACGTTAAGGTGCTTTGTTCTGGTGTGTGAAGGGTTAATCAGCCCAGCACAACTGCTGTTCAAATATTAATTGCTTTGTAGTGAAAGACCTGGCGAGTATTGTGTTCATTGCTAGGATGGGATGGGATGGGGGCAGTGGTGTAATATAAACTGTTTGTTTGTATTTGTTATAGCTGTTGTAAGACCATGCCTAACGGCAGAGTCACGACCGCGCATGCTCATAGGCCTGTTCACCACGTTTGCGGGAAGCAGCGGCTACTGCGCATGCGCAAACGGCAGCTACTGCGCATGCGCGAACAACAGCTACTGCGCATGCGCAAACGGCGCATGGCGCACAGGAAGTGACTTGCTCTGTCTGGGAATAATCCTATTTAAGCTGGCCCAACTCCCAGGATCTTTGCTGAGTGGTCTTTCAGCTTTAGTGTGTATTCCTGTATCTTGCCTGTTGCCTTATCATCGACCGGATTCCTTGAC